AAAAAAAAAAACAGCAAAACAAGAACATTACCTTGTGATCACCACCACCAGTAGCAAACCTGAGGCCTCCAGGCTGAATATCAATCGAGAAAATCTGTGTGCCGCCATGCCTGATCCAACTAGGTTTCTCTGCTATCATCTTTCAGTTCTTGAAGAATCTACCACAGTACAAATGAATTTATAAAAGCAATGAAGAAATAAAAAAAAAATAAAAAATCTTTTGCTACTTGTTTTACACTTTAAACCCAGAAGACCCATCCCCAAGTCTCCCCCAAAGCATCCATAGGTGGAAAATGAAAGAACAGAACAAAATGCACAAACACGAAAACCCACAAAAACCCTAATGCGTAGGCTACAACAGTCTCTCAAACGACAGAGAAAAATCCAAAATTGGGTAACTGAAGACAGTATATTCTATTCTATTGGAGCTAAGGTTGGAAGTTTTGCAGCCAAATTAAGAAAGGAAAACAATTATTCGAGAGGTTTGAGAAAGTTTCAATAATTAGTCGGTTATCCTGTGGATCCGAAACTAATCTCAAACCGAAAGGTCCCTATACCAAAAAAATTATTTAGTAGAACTACAAATCTCAAACCGAAAATAATAATAATTATTATTATTAATTTTAAATATAATAATAAAGAAAATGACTTTGGGAGTGGCTGAAGGTTGAAATTTTGTTGAACAGTGCAAGAAAAAACCCTAGTTCGGTAAATTAGCTTTTTTTGGCATAACAATATAAGATAAGATGGAAATTCTTAATAACTTGTTAATTTGGGATTTAATTGGTTTCTTGGATATTTTACGTAACGGTCCCATCAATATTTTTTTTTTGTCCAATTAATTCTGTAATATGAAGTAAACATGTTTGACTATATGGAATAATTTTTAATTTGTGTAAGGTTTTTGTTAGATCTATTTTGAGATTTAATATGTGTAATTGATACATTGGGTTATTAGTACAACGCCCGTGTATTATACGGATGCCTGCTAATTTTTTTTCTTAAAATTTTAAATTAATCAGAAAGAGTAGTTGAAAATTTAAATATCTTTCATAAAAATATATATATTATTATATTTAGTATGAGACTTTTTATTTGTGCGACTTACCTGTGTTATATTATAATGATTTTTTTAACTTACAACATTTAATTACATTAAACATAAATATATCAATTGAGAAATAATTTTATTTTTCTAATGAATTTTAGTAAATATTATTATTTTTTATTATTATAAAGATAAATATAATTTATTTTATATATACAATGTGAATGTCAAATCGAAGATCATCAAAAGATGATTAATTTGATATATTATATATGTAAACCGATAAGAAATACGAAAGTTATCAACTTTTAAAATACATTTACAATTCAATAGCTAATTGTAGGAAACAAATCAAAAGTCAGTGATATATTAGTCACTTAGTGTCTCACTATGTAAAATTACAAAGAATTAAAGGGTTATATTAGTACAAGTGATATTAAAATACCTAAGTTAGCTAAATAATATTTATGGAATGTCCGAACCTAAATTATTAATTATTAATATATCAATATTATTTGTCCAAACCTAATTACGAAGCATGATTATTCGTCAAATAGGATTCCGAAACACCAGAAGCAGCCACGTAGACTCAGCTCATTCGGGAATTATATATAGGGAGGATTATATTATTTAGCCAAATTAAGTGATCAAATTATTGTACATTGGCTAAGAAACTTAATTTAGATTGTGGAATGATTAAATGTGGACACCCGGTAATATTATTATTTAGTAACGTAACAAATAATAATATTAAACTTAATGACTTGAATAGGAAATAAATTGGGTCAAAATTATTTAAGGGTAGAGTCCCCAAAAGCCGTGAAAATTAAAGTGATGCCTATAAGAATAACTCATAAGGAATAAAAAAATAATAATAAAAGTTGGTAGGTGTTGGTAGTTGCCGACAATTTTACATTAAGTGTGTAACATCAATAAATAGTACTACTAATCAATGTAAAAGGGGATATGGGGGCATCATTTAAAAGAACAAGTTCTTCTTTCATACGTCAAAAGAAGGATAAGGAAAATAAAGAAATTTCACGGTCTTTTGGAAAATCTTCAAATCTCAAAATTCTAATTCAAGTTCCAGTGAAATAAAACAATATAAATCCATCAGGTACGCTTCCGCTCTTTTCAGTTTGATTCTCGATTATTCGATATGAACGCTCTTGGGTTAATTAATTTATTTCGAATAAGGTTAAATCCAATTCTATCAATTGGTACCAGAGCATTTAAGGCTGAAGTTGAAAATCATCTAAGGAAACGCATTAAGATCGTCAGATCTGACTGTGAAGGTGAATATTACGGCAGAAATGATGGATATGGTGAACAACATCCAGGCCCGTTTGTTGACTTCCTTAAGAAGTGTGGAATAGTTACTCAGTACACTATGTCAGGTTCGCCTAGCATGAATGGAGTTGCTGAGAGATGAAATCGCACATTAAAAGATATGGTTCGAAGTATGATTTGTCAATCTACTTTACCACGATCCTTGTGGGGGAAACCCTAAAGACTGCAGTCTACATCCTAAATCGAGTACGAACTAAGGCGACTGCTAAAACACCCTATGAACTTTGGACTGGGCGTAAGCCTAGCTTACAACATTTTAAAGTGTGGTGTTGTCCAGCTGAGGCGAGGCCTTATAGGCCAAATGAGCCAAAGCTAGCTCCTCATATGGTGAGCTGTCATTTTATTGGTTACTCGGAACGGTCGAAGAGGTATAAATTTTATGATCCCACATCAAGATATATTTTTTAGACAGGCACTGCCACGTTCTTTGAGGATGTTGAGTTTGGGGGGAGAAATACAGTTTCAGACTTACTTTTGAGGATCAGGAAATCACCAAAGTGGTCAACTCGATCCCTCAAGAGGAAATAGTCATTCCAGCTCCCATACAGTTTCAAGATCCAATTGAGGAGCCTGTTTATTTGAACTTGAACCTCAACATGTATATATAGAACAAACTCAACAAACTCAAGAACATACAGTTCAAGACCCAACGATTTTGCAGAAATCCACTAGAGAACGTAGAAATGCCATTCCGGATGATTATTTGGTATTTCTTCAAGAAAATGATGATGCAGATGGTTTGAATGAGGATGATCCTATCAACCTCAAACAAGTCATGAAGGATCCCAACTCAAATAAATGGATCGAAGCGATGTGTGAAGAGTATAAGTCAATGTAAGACAATAAGATATGGGAACTTGTCTCATTGCCAGAAGGTGCAAAACTCGTTGGTTGCAAATGGATTTTTAAAACCAAACAGGGTACAAATGGTAATGTTGAGAGTTATAAAGAACGTCTTGTGGCTAAAGGCTATAGTCAAAGAGAAGGGATTGACTATAAAAAGACCTTTTCTCCAGTATCCTCGAAGGACTCTTTTAGAACAATCATGGCTCTAGTGACACATTTTGATTTACAACTACATCAGATAGATGTAAAGACGACGTTTCTGAATGGTGACATTGATGAGACGATCTATATGGTACAACCAGAAAGCTTTGAGGTCGATGACCCGAAGAAAATGGTTTGTAAATTAAGAAAATCCATCTATGGGCTCAAACAAGCGTCTCAACAATGGTATCACAAATTTCATCACATAATTATCTCGTGTGTTTTTGAGATGAATGTTGTTGATGATTGTGTTTATCACAAGTTCAGTGGGGGTAAATTTATTTTTCTGATTTTGTATGTGGATGACATTCTTCTTACCACAAACGATATGTGCATGTTGTATGAAACTAAGAAATTTCTTTCGAGTAACTTCGAGATGAAAGATCTTGGTGAAGCGTCTTTTGTATTAAGAATCCTGATACACCGAGAGCAATCTCGAGGCATTCTAGGGTTATCACAAAAGAGTTGTATCGATAAAGTTCTTGAGCGATTTGGCATGCAGAACATCAAACCAGGAAATACCTCTGTGGCTAAAGAAGACAAATTTAGCCCAAAGGGAAATTTGAAAATCCAGAAAATGCAAAAGGTCCCTTACGCCTCGGCGGTTGGGAGCCTTATGTATGCTGAAGTATGTACGCGTCCATATATTACCTACATAGTTGGTGTGTTAGGTAGATACGTTAGTAATCCTGGATTGGATCACTGTAAAGCAGCCAAAAGGGTGATGAGATACCTTAAGAGAACTAAGGATTATATGCTCACATATAGGAGATCAGAACATTTTGTCACAAGGCTGCGAATCATTCTGGAGGTTGAAATACCTATTAAATTTTTTTGTGACAATAAATCTGTCGTTCTGTACTCCAACAACAACAGAGCTTGTCTAAGTCAAAACATATTGACATTAAGTTTCTAGGTGCGAAGGAGAGAGTACAAAGTGGTCAAATTTTCATCGAACACTTAGGAACAAAATCAATGTTAGCAGATCCCCTAACTAAAGGTGTAACACCTATGGTATTTCACGAGCATACTGCTCATATGGGTGTGTTATATATTAAAGAAGCTTCACTCTAGTGGGAGTATTTGCTACATATTTTTGTCTTTTTTATTCGATGATATATAAAGTACTTATTCTGATCAGAAATAAAGTTTTGGTTCATGACACTTTATACATTATGTTTGTAGTACTTAACGATCTCATTAAGTTTGGACCAGTTGAAAATTGGCATGTGTTGATCACATTCATGTAATTTTCATGCCACTCGTTCCACAGTTTGATCTATGTCATTTAATCATGGTGATATATGTGATTATTGATAGTTTAGTTGTCTCTATACGGTGAAAATTGCTTTAGTCCTATATTGTTGTGATTAATGGACCAGATTGTTCAAGTTTTGTAATAAAGACCATATTTTAAGCTCATAAATGTAATGTATTATCATGACACATATTTAATCAGTGGGAGATTGTTATATCTATTTTGGGATTAAATATGTGTAATTGATACATTGAGTCATTATATTATTTAGCGAGTCATTATATTATTTAGCCAAATTAAGTGATCAAATTATTGTACATTGGCTAAGGACCTTAATTTAGATTGTGGAATGATTAGATGTTGACACCCAGTAATATTATTATTTGGTGACGTAACACATAATAATATTAAACTTAAGGGCCTAAATAGCAAATAA